ATTGCCCACGCTGGGCTGGAACTTGCTGTCCTCGTGCCTCAGCCTCCCAAGGTGCTGGGATTACAGGTGTACACCACCATGCCTGAGCTTCAGCCCCACTACGTGCACAGAACCAGAAGGTCATTTTTTTTTTTCCGGAACCGGGGATTGATCTCAGGTTCTTGTGCTTGCCAGGCAAGTGCTTATTCCACTAAGCTATCTCCCCGGCCCCCAGAAGGTCATTTTATATGTTATCTTCAGCGTGCCTGAATTGTGACCATGGCCTGTCACTTGTGCTGTCAGGGCTGGAATTTTCCATGTGTGACATCATGTCAAATTTCCAAAGTTTTGAACTTTAGAGCATTTCAGATTAGGGATATGTAATTTATCCCATGGACTTAATACCAAAAAACAGGAATTTATATTCCACAATCAGTCCTGCAGGCCTGAGGTCTGAGATCCTTCCATCAGCCCCAACCTGGATGTTGCAGGGTCTTGGCTCTGGGAGACTTAGGGAGGAGCTGCTTCTGCCCCTCCTGCTTCTGGTGGCCACCACACCTGTTGGCTTGTGGCCATGGCACCCAGTCTCCAGGGCCACATCTCTCTCCATGTGTGCCAGTCTCCCAGCCTCTTAATGGGCCTGAGGGATGCGTTAGGATCCATGTGGCTCATCCGGATAATCCCCACCTCAAGCTCCTTGGCTCAAGCCACTGCAGAGGTAGCTCTTCCTTAGGTCACTTTTACAGGCTCCTGGGATTAGGGCATGAATGTCTTTTTGGAAGCAGCTGCACACTTGTGATTCCAGCACTTGGAAGGCTGAGGCAGGAGGACTGCCATGAGTTTGAGGCCAGCCTGGGCAACATAGTGATTTCAAGGCCAGCCTGAACTGTGTAGTGAAATCTTGTCTCAGGAACAAACAAAAGCAAAGTTCCTTCTTGTAGACTGGCTCTTTTGTAATAGATGCTGGTTCGGAAAAGGAAGACGGGTACCCGCTGACCCCTCCTCTCCTGCCTCCATTCTGTGCCACATTGGTGGACCTTGTGCAGATGTGTATTGATACCCCAAACCTGACACCCCAAGCTCTGTCACTCCCTCAGCTATAGCCCCCGGCTGCATGAGCATCTGCATGGTCTGGCCTTGGGTGTATCTATCATTATTGACTGCATAACAAAAGCCCCACACTTGGCAGTGTCCAACAATGGCCTCCCTCATTTTAATCTCACATTTTGGGGGTACTAGAGTTCAGCCAGGTGGGCTGAACCAGTCACCCCTGCAGTTGCCAGTGAAAGGTGGCCGACGCTGGGGTCACGTTGGAAAGTTCTTACTCACTGGCCTGATCCTTGCAGCAGCTAGGACCCTCAGGTGTCTCCAGCTCTGCTTGGCTTTTTTGCAACTTGGTGGCATCAGGATGACCCCACTTTGCAGCCATCAGCTTTGAAACAAAAGCTGGGGGAAGTCTAGTGGCTTTGGGAACTGGGCATCGCATCGCAAGGTGGCACTTTCAGGGCGATTGGCTGCTTCTGCCCTGTGGCTTCCAGGTGTCTGAGCACCTTAGGGTTCTGACACTGCTCACACCACGGAGGAGGGTGCAGCAGGGGTCCAGGGGACCAGGTGCTGATGGTACCTTGGGGTGATCTGAGAATCAGGGTAGAGCCAGCCTAGTGTCAGTCTGTGCCCCAGAGCTCTGCATTTCCCACCCCCTCCACACAGTGCCCTGCTGCCTGCCACCCATGTCTCTGGATTCTCACACTCTTGCTGGACACCACTCCTGGCCTTGCTGGCCTGCGGTGCAGAAGCGGAAGAAATGGCTGCTCTCTGGGAGATGGGGCTCATGAGGACGCAGACACCTCTTTATGCTTTGGGGACCAGAGCCCATGGGAGCTTAGCCATGGGGCAGGATGGGAAGTGTCTGTGTGTCCAGCAGCAGCCAAGCTCGAGTCGGTGGAGGAAGGCGCCTTTCCAAGAGGTCATAGCCGGGGCTGAGTGGGGCCACGCCCTGTGCCTGAGACCCAGCTCTGTGTGGTCACAGATGGGCGGTGGTGCTGGCTCCTCTGGCTTATTCCACTGGGTGTCCTGTCTTCAAGATTTATTGGTATTGTGGCCTGTGTCAGAATGTCTTTCCTTTTCAAGGCTAAGTAATTTTCCACGGTTTGGCTCTTGCAGCACATTTCTCTACCTATTTGTCTGCTGGTGGGCACTGCAGTGGCCTCTGTATTTTGGCAATTGTAAATGATGTACTGCTATGTACATGGGTTACGCATGTGTGTGACAGTTTTCAATCTTTTGGGCACATACAAGTGAAATTGGTGGATTAGATGGTAATTTTTCTCTTTTTTTTTTTTTGGTGATACTGAGTATTGAACTTAGGGCCTTTGCACTGAGTTATGTCTGCAGCACTTTTAACGCTTTTTATTCAATGACCTGGTCTCACTAAGTCTCTTTAATTGCCCAGGCAGGGCTCAAACATGCGAGCTTCCTGTCTCAGCCTCCCAGACTGCTGCCATGACAGGTGTGTGTCGCCACATCCAGCTCAGGTTGACCTTCTTAGGCTTCGTGATGTCCCTGGCTCTTTGTTGAGTTTGCAGGGGAATTCCGCAGTGTTTCCAGGAGGCAGGACTGGGGTAATGAGGGTGAGCACAGCTCTGGCTTCTTGGAACTCGCACTCAGTTGGGGACATCGGGCAGGAAGCTACTGAACAGGTCCTTAGTGACTGCGACAGGGTAGGTCTCCTAGGTGAAATGGGGCAAGCGGGTGAGGAGTGCATGCCAGGCAGTGCTGCTGGCTTGCTAGGCATCAGGGTGGGCATCCTAGGAGCTGTCCCTGAAGCCATCCCTGGTCCCAGCTGGGGCTGGACCTGGGCAGACCTGGAGCCCCCATCAGCATCAGGTGATGGAACAGGTCACCTGGTCCCACGGGGCCTGCTTAGGAGGCAGATGATACTTCATCTCTAAGTTGCCTGGGTGGGGCTCAAACCGGCAATCTTCCTGTCTCAGCCTCCCAGAGTGCTGAGTGTACGGGCATGTGCCACCATTTTTGGCTCCCCTCAGTTTTTTCAGAAGCAGGGAGGGGGGTTAGAGATGGAAATCGGAAGCCTGAGACAGATGCCAGGCAGGGTTGGAGGAGGCTGCAGCACAGACGTTAGACAGGGAGGCCAAGGAGAAGAGGGAACCCAGTGGCCTTTCATGGTCAGTGTTGGGGTGCCAGAGCTTCATCTGATGTCCTCGAAGCCCTCTTCCATCACAGCTGAGGCTCAAGCCTCCTCTTGTCTCTGTCCCCTCCCCCTGGGACTCAGTCCGATCCCTTAACTGGATCACACTGCACATTCCATCCTCTATGGTTTCCCTTTCATCCTGTCCCGCTGCACAAATGAAAACCATGTGATTGGATTGATTTGCTCAACCTGGTCCAGGCAGACCTGACCTGGGCTGCTGCTAGGGCCGCACATCTCAGCTGCAGCCATTCAGGCCCCTGACGCCACCCCTGAATGCGCCCCTCTGAGCCCTGGCTCCGCGTGGAGGATCCCAGACATGGACTCAGAGCATGCAGGGTCCCTAGCCCACCATATCCTGGTTCCCACTTAGTCCCTGTTCCTTCCTAAGTGGATTATGACATTGCCAGAAGGAGTCAATGCATTCAGGCGGCCAGGAGGCCAGGGCTGAGACCGGCTGGTGCCTCCTGCTCCGTGCTGATTCGATTTGAGCCTTGCAGCTGGGCGGCCGTGGCCAGAGGCTTTTCTGGAAAGGTTGGGGTGATGGCCAGGGGTGGTTAGGGGTCAGAGGAGCCTTCTGGTTCTCAGGAAGCAAACCTCACAGTGGGGAACCACACAGTGGTGCCCAGGTGGCCCTCATGCCACAGAAGGTCCAGGGCATGGCCAGTGAGCACCTCTTGGTCATCAGACTTTTATCAAATTGAAATCTGCAGGAGGAGCTGCATTTCAGGAACACTGTGGAACAAACCCATTTCATGCTTTGGCCAAATACTGAGGGGGCTGGTTCTGAACAGTCCTTACCCCCAGCCAAAGAGCAGACTGGAGTCACACCCTAACCCCCATGACTGTTTCTGTCCCTGAAATGGACACTTCTCAGCACTGGCATGTGACTCTCACTGGGACCATGGCTTCCTGACACACCAGAGGCCAAGTTGTGGCTGGGATCACACATCTTGGTCCTGCACAAACATGGGACATGAAGCAGGCTCTGGGGATGGCGGAGGCTGCAGAAGAGGCAGTGGGTTTGGTGCCCTTTAGTATCAGGCCTTAGGGTCCTTCCCAGCGCCATCAGCTGGGTACCTGCAGGGGTAGGCAGTGTGGGGCCCAGGGCTCCTTCCACAGTGGCAGCTCCACACTGGCCTGCCTTGGGGTACCTCATCGAGGGAGCCTAGGTTCATTCTGCAGAATCTGCCTCTGCCTAGTCCCCAGGGGTTTGTGGCTTGGTACAGAGCCACGGTGACAAAGCTAGGGACGTGTGGGAGGCCAGGAAGGGCATCGAGTCACCCAGGCTGGGAGTGGGGCACTCAGGTGCCTTTCCAGCAGGCTTCACTGGGAAAAGCAGAGGAGACAATTAGCAGATGAGAGTGGGCCAAGAAGGGCCATGGGGACAAAGGGAACCAGACCTGCAAAACCAGCCGGAAGGACTCTGGTGTGTTCGTGGGGTGGAAAAGTTAAAAATACCTGCAAGTGAGATTTGGGTTCAGAGATGGAAGTAGGCAGCAGGGACTCATGGGAGAGGTGTGAGCAGGACAGGGCCGACGCGGTCTCGTAATGGTGTTGGGGTCTGCCTGTGGGTGCAAATTGGGGTGCAGCGGGCCCGACTCACTTGCAAACCTTTGCATATCCGGGCCTGTAGAGGCTATGCTTCCAGCCTGCACCGGAAGTGGCAGGAAGGGCATCTGGCCTCGCCCACACTGGGGCGGTCCCTCCTGGGCCACGCCCACCAGGAGACGGGCTCCTCCCCCAGGCGCGCTAGGCTGGGCTGATTTGCCGCCGCGAGTGCCCACCGGCCTCCATCTTGTCCCTCCTTCAGGTGACCATGGCCTTGCTGGGGAAGCGCTGTGACCTCCCCGCCAACGGCTGCGGGCCTGACCGCTGGAGCTCGGCCTTCACTCGCAAAGACGAGATCATCACCAGCCTCCTGTCTGCCTTAGACTCCATGGTGAGTGCTAAGCGCAGTCGGCGCTGCGGCGCCTCCATGTTTGTGGCGGGAACTGCGGCGCCTCGTCGAGGGCAGGAGAGCCACGCGAGGCCCAGTCATCCAAAATGTGGCCCTGGAATAAGTGGGGGTTCCCAGCCCCCGGCCCCCGGGCCCTCCTCCCTGGTCACCTCTTGTCAGTCATATCCCATCCCTGTGGAGAGTCAGTCCCAGGTCTCCTACGAGGTGTCCTGAGGGACACTCTGTGTGGGTGGTGGTTCTTCGGGAAGCTGGAATCCTGAATTTTAAGCAAGAGCCATAAACCAAGTGTGGTGGTGCACGCGTGTAATCCCAGCAGTCTGGAGGCCGAGGCAGAAGAATCACAAATCGAGGGCAATTTAGCAACTTTGTGAGACTGAGAATGAAAAAAGATGGGAATGTGGCTCAGTGTGAAGCCTTGGGTTCAATTCTTAATACTACTACTTAAAAAACAAACAAACAAACAAAAACAAATGGTGGCACATGCCTATAATCCCAGCACTTGGGAAGTTGAGATGGGAGGATCCCTGTGAGTTGGAGACCAGTCTGGGCTACAAA